GACACATGGACACACATAAAAGAACAGAAAAGAGTGGGAAATAAAAACAAAAATCAAGGCAGCAGAGCTGTAAAATCCTGTGTGGGTATTCCAGCCCTGGAAGGTGCAGCAGTGCTCTCCTGCAGAGCATCCCACAGCTCCAGGGAATGCTTGGCCCACGGGGACACATTCCTCTGCCAGCACTCAGCCAAGGTAGCTCCAGGCACACATTTCCCTACAAGGGCAGGCGCTCGCTCCTGCTCTGCTGTGCCAGGGAGAGGATGGATGGCTGCCTCCTCTGCAGGAACACGGGCAGCTGCAGCTGCTCCAGGGCTCCTGGGGCACTTGCAGGAGCTTCCCTCGGGTGCAGGTGCGTGGGGGAAAATGAGGGTGAACAGCTCCTTTTTGCTATATGCTGGAGGGTATTTTGTGTTGGGATATGGAGATTTTGGTCCCTGCAAATTTTGGGCGGTCTCAGATGCAGAGCTGTGTCTGCCCCTGGCAGGGAGTGTGATGCATTTGTCACTGCACTGCCACCTCTGCTAGCCACTCTCCTCTGGGAGGATGCTGAAGCCTAAATCTGGTGGCAGCTTTGCAGAGAAGTGCCCAAAGCTCCCTCAGTGGTGGAGATGCTCACCCCAGGGAGCAGCACCTGCACATCAGCTGCAGTGGCAGGAGACTGCAGGGCACTGTGCTGCCATGGGAGAGGGAACAGGGACCCACTGGGGACAGGAACAGGGTGGGATTGCCACTATACTGCACCTCCTGCAAAATGAGGTGCTGTTCTCACTGGGCACAAGGACAAACAGCTGCCTAAATGCTGATCTGCCACAAAAGACACCAGGTCAATCCCTGTGCATCCAAACTCCTGATTTTCAGTGGCCCTGCTGCTGTCAGGGCAGGCACGTAGCTGTGTTGAAAAAAACACCTGCTTTGTGATTTTGCCCCTGCTTTTACCACAACAATGGTGATGCTCAGCACCCAGACAGGGCCTGCTGCTGGAACATGGTGAGAACAACCACAGCAGAGCTTCAACACCTGTGAGGGGTTTGCGTTGAGATGGGGAACATGAGGAGGTGCAGGGGCAGTGCAGGAGGGGAGCAGGGTGGGCTCAGCAGTGGGCTGATGGTGCACAGAGGAACCTGAGCACTGGGGTTATCTCAGTGTCCTCCCTATATTTGGTACTTCTTGAGAACCACTTAGAAAAGAGACAAAGAGGCTTCTGCAAGGCCTTGGCACAGATGCCTGGAAAGCTTCCTCCTGCATGCCACAGGATTCTGAGAGAACAAACACTTGAATGCATAGAGCATGGAAAATATCAAAGATACTACAGCAAGGGATCCCTGAGGGTGGTGAGCCCTTGTGAGCCTGTCAGTGTGAGACAGACCCTGAGAACATCTCCATGCTCCTGGACAGAACATCTGCAGCTCACACAAAGCCAGCCTCAGCTGTGCATATTTTGTCACTCTCACATTCACAACATCTCCCAAAATTGAGACAGCAGAAACCTCAGAGGGGCCAGAGAGGAATGAAGGCAGCCAGATATGCAAAGGATGTGAGATGAAAGGCTGGATGTGAGCAGAGTGATGGGGGAGGGATGTAAAGCACTGAGACCACAGTGAGAACTGAGGAGTCTCAGCGTTCTGCCACTTCAAGGGCAAGGAAAATCCAGCATAATGGAAACACAACTTATCTAAATCTCATCAGAGGAGAAACTTTTCCATGCAATTCCTGAATCAGCAGAACTCACAGCTATACATTTACATTCCTCAGCTGAACACCCTTGGCCATCCCTTGGAAAGTCCCATGCTGGAGACCATTTCCAAGCCCTGTCTTGCAGAGACCAAGTGCTAGCCTGGCTCCTGGCCAAAACTGCCATCAAACAGCTACTTCACAGGCTTGCTAGGCCTTATTTTGGAGCAAACACAGAGACCACTGTGGGAAAGGAGATCCTGTCTGGGTAGAGTCTCTTGGCCTCTATTATCGTATCTCTGTTCTATATCTAAGCCATGTTCACCCAGACATGTTCCAAGCAAGTCCCCACAAGACTGCAGGAAACACAGGGATGCAGCATTCAGGGATGAGACAGGTAAGGAAGCCAACCCTTGCTCTGGAGTCTTGCAGGTATTCAACTGGTGCTCCCCGCTCCACTTGGGTCTTACTGTCCTGAGAATGCCTGGCAAAAAAAAAAAAAATCACAAGACCACACATAAAAGTGGCTTTTGGAGGTATTTTCCTTTGCTTTTCAGAGGCCAGAGGAATCAGGAAGAGTTTCAATTGCTTCTTTCAAGTGTGACGATTGAAGCGTGGTGATTTTGCCACAGCTGTGATAGAAGTGCTACGTGGGAAACCCTGGATCCGTGAGACAGAGCAATCCATGGGCATCAGCAGCATCATGACTGTGGGGATGAGGGAAGCTCAGAGCACCTGAAACACTGGGAGTATGCCACGGGAGAAGAAAACTGAGCTGCTGTGCTGCTGTGCTGGCACTTGAGAGGATCGTGTGCCTACCAGAAACTTCACTGTGCTTGGAGCTGTGCAGGCAGAGCTAAAGAAAAGCCCTTCCTCCAACAGTGCTGAGATTTTATAGAGAAATACAAAGTGTGGGAGAAAGACAGACTCAGCCTCAGAGTACAGATTGTGAAGTGAAGACCAAGGGCATGCATGGGATGCAGCATTAACCAGCTCTCCTACACCCCAGCCCGGTGCCATGCTGTGGAATTGTTGCTACAGGCTTGTAATTGTGGGATAAAACAGACATGGGTGTCTGATGAAACAATTCAACAAAAACAGGCTAGAAACACTTTCTATCTGGTTTGTAAACACAGGAGCCCTGCACCTCTGTTTCTCTGAGCAATTGCTGAGTTTCTACATCAGCTCCACACAGGAAGAAAGGCTGACATGAGCACCACCTGCACACCAGGACACACTGATGGGGAGGGAGATCTGTTTGTGACCATTTCATGCCTGCAATGCTTCCCCATCCCATATTTCCAGGTACTTGCAAAGCTCTGCTCTATGAGAAACCAAACACAGCTGTGACAATGCCCCAGAGCCCTCCTTGACAGGCTGGCCAGACCTGCCTTCAGCCTGGAAAGGCAAGAGTGGCTTTGCACAGATTTCTGGGTTGTTATTACAGGGTGAAGTGAAAAAGAGGGGCTTGCTATGATACAGGTTGCCTGAGGGGTGAAAAGATGGTTTGAGCAAGGTGATGGTGTGGAAGAAATCCAGTCCTCACACTCAGATTGTTCAGAGCTTCCCTGAGCAAGGACAGTGCCATTCCTGCCCTTCTTCTCCCTGCTATCACTGTCAGGGCAAGCTCACCCCAAAAAATGAATAAATAAATCCTATTTCTGGAGAGAGGCCACCCCTGTGGCAGGCACAGCACTGCTCAGCAGCCCTGGGAAAACCTGTGGGCTTAACTCAGTGCTGAGATATCCCCCACAGCAACATCTTCTGCAAAAAATGAAAGAAAAGATGATATCATCTCTCTGGAGGGCTGCCCAAAGACAGGCTGTGATTTACAGCATGGAGGCCAGGAGCATACAGGAACTGCTGCTCCAGTGTCACAGGAGCTGCTTCTCCTCTGGTTGTGCCAAGGGCTGCATCCTGAGAGATCCCTTTAAAGTGGGCAGCCACTTTAAAGCCAGTTTAAAACCAGTTTATAAGGTGTTCAGCTCTCAATGGATCTCAGCACAGAGGTTGCCAACACAAAATAAGGACAGACAGAGAGAGGTGGAAATCTGAGAGGAAAAAAGACAGGTTTCCTGTTACAAATCAGTGCTTGATTTGTTTTGCTTCATAAGCAAAGGGATCCAGTTCCTGGAGGTTTGAGAGGAGCTGAATTAATGACCTGTGGCAGGTTTAGCTAATGCTCCAGCTCCAAAGGGAGCATTTCAAGCAGATATAATCACCAAGTGCTCTGCCAGGCGTGGCACCAGGAAGGAAGGGAGCAGGAGAAGCCCCTTGGCACAGCAAAGCTGGGTGAACATGCAGGTGAGACATCACATAGGCAGAGGAGGTGAGTGAGGGGTCCACAAAACCCCCAGGAACCCCAAGCAAAGTGCCACCCTAAGCCAGGGGGTGCAGACCGTGCTCACCATCCAGGTGGTTGCGGGAAAGGTACTTGAGGCCTTCATCCAGCAGGATCACAGGCAGGGAGATCTTCATCACAACCACCCACTGTGGCCAGCTCAGGGGGGTCACCTGGAAGATGAGCTGCAGGGTGGAAAGGGTTGGACATGTCACTAGGGGAGCAGGTGGGATATTTTGCTGTTTTAGGGATCACATTGTTGTGGGGCAGAAGTTGAGAGAGGGTCATCACAGAGAGGTAAAAAGAGGGAGGATCCAGACAGCTCAAAAAGGAGGATTTCTTCAAGTCTGTCATGATCCAAGGTGGGTTTTGGCCAAGATTAGTGAAAAATTATGTTATTCACCCCTCCTGCAGATGGGGAAAGTGAGGCACAAGGCAGGACTGTGCGTTTATGTGTTCACAGGTGCTCAGCAGGTGACAAGGGACAATGCAACCTCCTGGGTATGGAAACACACTTCATCTTAAGCACCTTTGGGCACCAACCAATGCATCCCCAACCTTGCAAAGGAAGGGGATCTCTCCTAAAGGGCTGAACCACCTTCTGGAGATATCTAGAGCCTTTGTCTTGCCCATAGGGAGAGCTTTGTACTCCTGCCTCATGGGGCAGAATGACTTCTGATTTCCATGGCTCATGGGACAGAATGACTCCTGATTTCCATGCTGGGTTGAACCATGGGACCTGGCCCTGAGGGCACATTCTGAGAACAGCCACCCGAGGAGTTTCCCGACCCAAAGATTGCTCCAGGGATGTCCTTGTCCACAGGAGGCACAGGGAGGTGACAGAGGGTACTCACAGGCATGGGCTTGACATAGAGGATGAGGAAGTGCAGAGCCATGGACATGATGATGGCCCCCAGCAGCCAGATGTTGAGCCAGGGTGGCATCCGCAGCAGTGACTGGTTCTCAGAGACACTGTGAAAGTGAAGGGACAAGGTTAGCCCCAGAAACCTCCCCACATCTGCCCATGCTGGGAATCTCATTTCCCTCCAACATGCAAGGCCATATGCTACATCCTTTCTTTTCCAGGCTGTTCATCTGCAGGCTTTGCTGCAAACTGGATGTGGATACAACCAGCAATGCATGGATTAGGGCCGATCATTAATGACTAAATCACTAATGAATGCAGATCCAGTCCTTCCTTCACTGCTCCCAGGCACAGCACACTGCCTTGGAGCAGTTCCTCTATGGAAAACCCAGAGCTCCCCTCTGAGGATGCTCTGATCGGCTCTGCTGAGCCAAAGCAAAGCCCTCAGCCCACCCAGAGCCACTCAAAGAGACAGAATCAGTCACACACAGAGCAAGGAGAGCAGCCCTGTGGGCAGCACACCTGTTCAGAGCATTGCACATTTCGATGGTCACCAGCACAGACAGAGCCATCGTCGTTGGGTATCGCGACTCGAAGATCTCACAGTCAATTCCTTCAAAGATGGGGTTGTCCTCAGTGCACCTCATGAAGTTCCTCTGTCAGCACAGGAAACTGCTGGTAAATACATGGCAGAGCAGCAGGAAAGGCAGGAGAGAGGAGGAAGAGGGGACTGGTTGGGGGGCAGATGATGAACTGGCTGCTATTAAATATCCCAGGGGTCAGAGCAACCAAAAAAGGGCCTGAAGTGACCCAGCTTCTGTTGGGCTTGGGCTTTAGGGGTATGGCTGGGCAGTGCCTTGAGGCTCTCAAGTGCAGTTAGGAAGGAGTTTGAGCACACACATGCGTCTACATCAGAAATCCATCTTGCATTTCACATGCCATTGGGATGTGATGGCACATGCTTTCCCCCTGACCTGCAGTTTTCACATTAGCTGCAGTAGTGTAATGTGAGAACAGGTCCCTTCCAATATGGGATGAGGCACAGAAGCTACTTTCAGCTTCTCTGAATCTCTCTGAATGTGAAACTTTCCCTACCACGCTGGTGGCTGGCAGAAGCAAGGCTGGAAACAGCCTGAGTGAGAGAATTCGTTTCTGTTTTAAATTACTGTTCTCTCCACCAGGAATCTGGGAATGCCCCAACCAACACAGAGGAAAGATAGATAAAAGACCCCAAGACATGAATGCACACCCTCACCCATCTCTGCAGCTGTCAGCCTGTTCCCTCCTGACTCACCAGCTGATGGAAGGAGACCTGTGGTCCCTCGGCGTCGTACAGGAACCACCAGGTGGCTGCACCCACTGTGGCCAGGCCCACGTACACTGTGGCCAAGAGAGACACCATTACCCCAGCAACCGACAGGGACCCCTGCTGTGTTGTGATTTCAGGGTTTACCTCAGAACCTCAGGTCCCTCCCCTGATAATTCCCTCCCAGGTGTGTCAGTCACCTCTCCTTTCCCCTCCCAGCACTGTCTGTCAGTCCTGGCATTCCAGAAGGGCACTGAGTGATTGGCAGATCCAAAGGATGCCCTCTACCCCTGGGGGGCATTGGGCCATCCAGGTGTCCTTTGTCCCTTTGTCTCTCCCCTCCTGTCCCTGCTTGGTGGCTCCCTGCCCCTTCCCTGCCCCTCTCCCCGGGGTTCAAAGGAGCAGCAACCACGGGCTCAGGGAGTTCTGTTGGAGCTGGTGCTGCATTCAGAGGCCTGTGGGTCAGAATAAAGCTCTGCATCCAAACCCTCCATCAGAACCGACTCCTTTCCTTCACCATCGCCTTAAAGCTTCTCT